CTCGCAACCCTCCCACGCCCTTGCTGGCTTGGCAATAGGCCCGGATAAGCGCAGCCACGTGACCCGGAGGAAGAAAAACGCTCAGAACGAGCGCTTCTAGCCTCAAAACGCGCAAGGATCCGCACACGTGCAGAAAGTGCAGCGGGCGCTCTTCATTCGCAAGCGGCGATAACCAATGATGCTCGCAACCCTCCCACGCCCTTGCTGGCTTGGCAATAGGCCCAGGCAAGCGCAACCACGTGACCCGGTGGAAGAAAAACGCTCTTAACCAGCGCTTCTAGCCTCAAAACGCTCAGGGATCCGCACATGTGCAGAAAGTGCAGCGGGCGCTCTTCATTTGCGAGCGCCGATGACCAATGATGCTCGCAACCCTCCCACGCCCTTGCTGGCTTTTCAATAGGCCCAGAAAAACACAGCCACGTGACCAGGTGGAAGAAAAACACTCGAAACGAGCGCTTCTAGCCTCAATACGCGCAAGGAACTGCACATGCGCAGGAAGTGCAGCGGGCGCTCTTCATTCGCGAGCGGCGATAACCAATGATGCTCGCAACCTCCCACGCCCTTGCTGGCTTGGCAATAGGCCCAAATATGCGCAGCCACGTGACCCGCTGGAAGAAAACGCTCAGAACGAGCGCTTCCAGCCTCAAAACTCGCAAGGATCCGCACATGTGGAGGAAGTGCAGCGGGCGCTCTTCATTCGCGAGCGCCGATGACCAATGATGCTCGCAACCCTCCCACGCCCTTGCTGGCTTGGAAATAAGCCCAGACAAGCATAGCCACGTGACCCGGTGGAAGAAAAATGTTCGGAACGAGCGCTGCTAGCCTCAAAACGCGCAAGGATCTGCACATGTGGAGGAAGTGCAGCGGGCGCTCTTCATTCGCGAGCGCCGATGACCAATGATGCTGGCAACCCTCCCACGCCCTTCGTGGCTTGGCAATAGGCCCATTCAAGCGCAGCCATTTGACTCGGTGGACGAAAAACACTTGTAACGAGCGCCGATGACCAATGATGCTCGCAACCCTCCCACGCCCTTGCTGGCTTGGCAATAGGCCCAGATAAGCGCAGCCACGTGACCCGGAGGACGAAAAACGCTCAGAACGAGCGCTTCTAGCCTCAAAACGCGCAAGGATCCGCACATGTGCAGAAAGTGCAGCGGGCGCTCTTCATTCGCAAGCGGCGATAACCAATGATGCTCGCAACCCTCCCACGCCCTTGCTGGCTTGGCAATAGGCCCAGACAAGCGCAACCACGTGACCCGGTGGAAGAAAAACGCTCTTAACCAGCGCTTCTAGCCTCAAAACGCTCAGGGATCCACACATGCGCAGAAAGTGCAGCGGGCGCTCTTCATTTGCGAGCGCCGATGACCAATGATGATCGCAACCCTCCCACGCCCTTGCCGGCTTTTCAATAGGCTCTGACAAACACAGCCACGTGACCAGGTGGAAGAAAAACGCTCGAAACGAGCGCTTCTAGCCTCAATACGCGCAAGGAACCGCACATGCACAGGAAGTGCAGCGGGCGCTCTTCATTCGCGAGCGGCGATAACCAATGATGCTCGCAACCCTCCCATGCCCTTGCTGGCTTGGCAATAGGCCCAAATATGCGCAGCCACGTGACCCGCTGGAAGAAAAACGCTCAAAACGAGCACTTCCAGCCTCAAAACGCGCAAGGATCCGCACATGTGGAGGAAGTGCAGCGGGCGCTCTTCATTCGCGAGCGCCGATGACCAATGATGCTCGCAACCCTCCCACGCCCTTGCTGGCTTGGAAATAAGCCCAGACAAGCATAGCCACGTGACCCGGTGGAAGAAAAATGTTCGGAACGAGCGCTGCTAGCCTCAAAACGCGCAAGGATCTGCACATGTGGAGGAAGTGCAGCGGGCGCTCCTTATTCGAGAGCGCCGATGACCAATGATGCTCGCAACCCTCCCACGCCCTTGCTGGCTTGGCAATAGACACAGATAAGAGCAGCCATCTGACGCGGTGGAAGAAAAACGCTCAGGACGAGCGTTTCCAGCCTCAAAACGTGCAAGGATCCGAACATGTGGAGGAAGTGCAGCGGACGCTCTTCATTCGCGAGCGCCGATGACCAATGATGCTGGCAACCCTCCCACGCCCTTGGTGGCTTGGCAATAGGCCCATTCAAGCGCAGCCATTTGACCCGGTGGAAGAAAAACACTCGTAACGAGCGCTTCTAGGCTCAAAACACGGAAGGGATCCGCACATGTGCAGGAAGTGTAGCGGACGCTCTTCATTCGCGAGCGCCGATGACCAATGATGGTCGCAACCCTCCCATGCCTTTGCTGGCTTGGCAATAGGCCTAGACAAGCGCAGCCACGTAACCCGGTGGAAGAAAAACGCTCGGAGCCAGCGCTTTCAGCCTCAAAACGCGCAAGAATCCGCACATGTGGAGGAAGTGCAGCGGGCGCTCTTCATTCGCGAGCCTCGCCTCGATGACCAATGATGCTCGCAACCCTCCCACGCCCTTGCTGACTTGGCAATAGGCCCAGACTAGCGCAGGCACGTGGCGCGGTGGAAGAAAAACGCTCGGAACGAGCGCTTCTATTCTCAAAAGGTGCAAGAAACCGCACATGTGCAGGAAGTGCATTAGGTGCTCTTCATTCGCGAGCGCCGATGACTAATGATGCTCGCAACCCTCCCACGCCCTTGCTGGCTTGGCATGCTGATTTTTGAGTCGACTAAAAAATGAGGAGAGGACATGCAGCCTGGTGGTTTGCCAGTGAAGTTGGTGAGTGTGGAGTTTCTGATTGTGATTTGTTGTTTCTCTTCTGTAAATGCAGCTAGATTTCTGTTTCTAAATCTACATGTTGGCTGTGCTGTTTCTGCAGATGAATCAGGACGCATTTTGAGATGACTATATGTGTTGGACGCTTGTGTGGTCTGTGTCAGGGCTGATTTTATCAGGGTAATTACCCTTATTTCAGGGTGATTACAGGCTTCTCACTTGGTGGTCCCTGCAATTTCAGAATTTCTGACTTGTGAACACTGATCGATTCAGAATAGTGCTTTAGCGAATCCTGAAATATTGTATCTAGGCTCAGAGTAGTGTTCTTACTGACTCTGTCAATGTAGAGTACGCGTTCTGTGGACCCTGGATGCGAGGGTATTGGGACGAAATTTCCCAGAAATTTCCTCCCGATATTCCCCATGTGCGTAATCATGATTACGCTTGTACCCATGTGAGGGTGCCCTTTCTCCACAGTAATACTGACAAGTAACACCTAGATGGGAAGGTGGGGTGGATGTTTGGGGGGAAGGTGGGGTGGGGTGGATGTTTCTGGTGTCGTGCGAAGCGCAGCGTGCTGGATTTTCGGCAGAACACCTCTGACACAGCAGATCTGCTGTGTCAGAGCGAATATCTTGTCCTTGACAGGGCAATTTTTTTGTGCGAATTCGCTCTGACCGGGCGAATCTGATGTGCCTGCAGATTTGCCCACGCCATAGCAATTTGATGTGCGATGTGCTGTTTTGTCGCATTTCTTGGCGCCTTTGGGTGTTGCTTCGAGGTGTTTCGCTCACCGTTTGCAAATGTATACACACTGTGGTTGACGGCGAACGTGCACTGTACTCTGGGTGGCACTGTGCAGTCAGTTCGCATGGGTGGCACATTGTGGCCGATATTCGTGGTTGTATGGTGCCAAGCCACACTGACGTGTACTTTCGCGTACACGTCAGTGTGGATTTTATGTTGGTTGTGTTTTCTATTCATTTTGACCGGCCATGGAAGTGAGGCGTGGGAGGGAAATGGGAGAAATTTGCGTGATTGGCTGCAACACTGATTTCTTGTTCTGAACCCTGACAACTCAGAGTACGTCGTTGTTGGACACTGACCAATCAGACTAGCAAACCTACGAAAAATGTGCCCCATAATCCAGGGAGAATTTTTTTCCCGAAATCAGGGGGGGCCAAAATGAAACGTCAGCCCTGGTCTGTGTAGGTGTGTGTGCATGTGTGTGTTCGCTAGTGGTGGAGTGCATGTGAGAGCGTGTTCCTACTGCCTCTAGTCAGGCTGGTGGCCTCTTGTCATAATTGGTCATTCGAGCGATTTCGTTATTAACATCGCTTTTCAGACATCAAAACGAACACTGCTGCGCGCTGAATTTATCATGCGAAACCTATAGCACGTGTTGTTTTGGCGAAACAGGGCCAGTCAATCGCGCGAAGTTATTTCTCACGCGTGAGAACCAGATTCTACTCACACACGAGAAAGAACACCGTTTTGTCGGGTATGAAGCAACCGAAGTTTTTTCAGCTACCAAGCGCACGTTTCGATCATGTGTGATTTCAAAAGGGGAATTTTGCGCAGTGCCATGTCACCCACACATTGTGTCGCACACTTCGTCTAGCAACGAAAATAAACAAATAAAAAGCAGGGGTAAGCCTAAATATTGGTGTTTTGAAACGCTTAGGGTACATTCCTGTATCGACACAAATGTCTCAATCGCGTCATAAAACCGCTGTACCGGTCTGCACCGCATTACACCTAAGTATCAAACATTTCCACCGCACTGCATCTCTTCGTTTGAGACGCGAGGCCTGTGTGACGCGCTTCAGGAATGTACCCTTAGACATGGGTGTGCACGTGTGGGATATACGGGTATGAATTGTGATGTGCGGGGTGCATGTATGTTCTCTGCATCAACCCTTCATCTGAATCAATATTATGTAGCTCAACTGTCTGCATCAATGATTTATTTGTGATATCGTGTGACAGTTATTGCACAGTTCACCATACAGTACTTACATAGATACCGTTTTAGAATTTCCAATCAAAATAGAGAAACACAAGGCATTTAATCAATACCATGTACACTGATCACCAATGCCCTGCTTTGCGTCCCAACAACTTCCTCACGGCACTTCGGGTGCACTGCCAAGTCTCTCAAGCTTGGCAATAAAGTGGGCCTGTCTGAACATATTTCTATTTCCAAGGCCCTCCCCAAGAAGCAGAGACTGGGTCATGCAAATGAACAGCTGGATCATGCAATGGCAGGTTGACAGAGGTTGATCCAGAGGGAGGTTGATCCAGAGGGAGGCTTGATCCAGAGGGAGGCTTGATCCAGAGGGACGCTGATCCAGAGGGACGGTTGATCCAGAGGGACGGTTGATCCAGAGGGACGGTTGATGCAGATGGACGGTTGATGCAGATGGACGGTTGATGCAGATGGACGGTTGATGCAGAGGACGGTTGATGCAGATGGACGGTTGATGCAGATGGACGGTTGATGCAGTTTGGACGGTTGATGCAGTTTGGACGGTTGATGCAGTTTGGACGGTTGATGCAGTTTGGACGGTTGATGCAGTTTGGACGGTTGATGCAGTTTGGACGGTTGATGCAGTTTGGAGGGTTAACACAGAGAGGTTGATGCAAACGGAAGTTGATGCAGATGGAAGGTTGATGTAGATAGAGGGTTGATGCAGATGCAGAGTGGTTGATACAGATACAGATGGGTTGATGTAGATGCAGATGGGAGGGTTGATGCAGATGGCACAGATGCACCCCCATATCACAATCATGCCCACACCCCCCACATGCGGCCCACGCACACATGCTGCCACAAACACAGCAGCCACACACCCACATGCTCGCAGACACAAACACATCACCATACACACAAACACACATGCACATCACCATACACACACACACATGCACATCACCATACACACACACACATGCACATCACCATACACACACACACATGCACATCACCATACACACACACACATGCACATCACCACCACACACACACACATGCACATCACCACCACACACACACACATGCACATCACCACCACGCACACACACATGCACATCACCACCACACACTATGAACAGACCACACATGCTACCACCACACACTTCCAACACATGTAGCAGTCTTGCCAGCTTCTCTTCATTCCTCTGCAGAACAGCAAGGACAAGAAGCAGAATGAAACATGAGCAGCTGCGATTTCAGTAGAGAAATAACAAATCACAGTATTTACAAATCTACTCACCATTGCCACCAGGAAACACCAGGTTGCAGCATGTTGCAGATCGCATCCACTCCCCTCCACTCTCCTTCCACTCCCCCTCGCCCCTGCTCTCCCCGCTCCCCCTCCTGCTCTCCCCGCTCCCCCTCCTGCTCTCCCCGCTCCCCCTCCTGCTCTCCCCGCTCCCCCTCCTGCTCTCCCCGCTCCCCCTCCTGCTCTCCCTGCTTCCCCTCCCACTAAGTACCAGGCCACCTCTGCTCTCCCGTTCCCCCTCGCCTCTCCCACACCCTTGCCCCACTTCACTCTGCCTCACCTCTGCTGCCCACTCCGCTCTGCACTCGCCCAACTCCCTCCCACTAAGTACCAGGCACCTCACATAGTTACACCGTCCCTTGTTGCACCCTAATCCCCACTCCCCCTCGCCCCTGCTCCCCCCTCACCACTCTCCTTCACTCTTGCTCCCCTCTCCTCCGCCCCTGCTCCCCTCTCCACTCTCCTCCAGTCATACCGCATACCATCCACAGCATCCCATCCTGCATGAGTTCCTTATATCAGCAGCCCGTTGTAGCATCCCCCCCCCCCTCATAGCAGCAGCACCACCCCCTGTAACAGCACCACCCCTCATAGCAGCAGCAGCACCCCCTGTAACAGCACCACCCCTCATAGCAGCAGCACCACCCCTCATAGCAGCAGCACCACCCCTCATAGCAGCAGCACCACCCCCTGTAACAGCACCACCCCTCATAGCAGCAGCACCACCCCTCTTACCAGCAGCACCACCCCTCTTACCAGCAGCACCACCCCTCTTACCAGCAGCACCACCCCTCTTACCAGCAGCACCACCCCTCTTACCAGCAGCACCACCCCTCTTACCAGCAGCACCACCCCTCTTACCAGCAGCACTCCCCCTTGTAGCAGCAGCAATCCCCCTTCTAGCAGCACCACCCCTCATAGAAGCAGCACCACCCCTCTTACCAGAAGCACCCCCCTTATAGCAGCACTCCCCCTTGTAGCAGCACTCCCACTTGTAGCAGCACTCCCCCCTGTAGCAGCACTCCCGCTTGTAGCAGCACTCCCCCTTGTAGCAGCACTCCCCCCTGTAGCAGCACTCCCCCTTGTAGCAGCACTCCCCCTTGCAGCAGCACTCCCCCTTGTAGCAACAACAACACCCCTTGCAGAAGCAGCCGAAGCGCGCACCACTCCCACCAGCAACCAGCACTAATGACCGCTCCTACCAACTAACAAAACTGAACACCATTCACCAACCACTCTAGCAAAAACTATTATACATAGCAGAACTAATTGGCAAACAAAATTACAAACTAAGGAGAAAAACAAAATCAGACAAAAGAGCAGACACACACAAAACATAAGCACAGGAACAAGAGAATCTAAGTGTGTAACGATAGGTTTGGTGAATATGGACTCAGGGTGCTGCCTTGGGATACCACATCAGCCTGCTGGGACAAAAGCCAAGGCTGTAGAAACTACAAGCCAAAGCTCCTTCCTCCAGAGGGGTTGACAACAGAGTGGCGTTCTGTGGATCCATGTGCCTAGGGGAGATGCCCTCATGAGAGGGTGCTCCCAGCAATTACCCGCTTAAAAGCGGGTGAATTGCGCACATGGGTCACATCCCAAGAGGCAGCTGCCTCATCATAGTCCACGAGAGAGGGGTTATGTGGAGAGGTTGGGGTGAGTTAAGGGGAAGACGGTATTTTAGAAGGATAAGGTAAGCTTAGTTGAGGGATAGGTGGATGATAGTTAGTACCAAGGGTAACTGGGAGAACTAAGGGTATATAGGAGAGGGAGTGTGTAAGATGTATTTCTGCAGGTTTAGAGAATTACACTCTGGGGTTGCTGGGGGAAGGGAGTATGTACGACAGAGTGACAGCAGGGAAGGCCACAAGAGGCAGGCGGGGAATATTTAGGAGCACTTATGTCATATCTTAAACTGGTGGCTTACTGTGTGGGCGGCCTTGGGACTGAGGACTCTAGGGAACTCCAGGGAATCGGTTGGTCAGGGGCAGATACGGATAATAATCGAGAAGGGTTTGGTTGGTATAGCTGGTGGTTTGCTGTATTGAGGGCTTGTCAGATGGTGGACAGGACACAAGGTGAACACCTGAGAACAAGGACTGCTGAAGTGGGTATAGGATGACAAGTATAGACGACTGGTGGCTTCACTGTGTGGAGGGTTCAACAATGGTGGACAGGACACAGGGAAAACGCAAAACGACAAAGGACTGCTGGGTCGGACAAGGATAATAAGGGGGACAGGTATGGTTGGCAGGACTGGTTTAGGTGGTGTTACTGTGTGGAGGGGTTGTCAGGTGGTTGCGCTACCTACACATGCTTCCGTCCATCCGCTCTTTCCCTTTTTCCTCTGATCTGCCTTTACACTGCTACACTCGTTTTTTTAAATGTATCAGACCACCGCTCCTATCAACCTTTTCAACACTCTGCTGCTTGCAACACTCTCAAATATTTACTGCGGAGGGACTCTCAAGTGCTCTTCGTGGCTCTCTCAGGTACTCTTTGTGAGACTCAAAAGCACTTGTCCTGAACTCCTTAACTGTGTCAAGCTAGCTCAGTGTCACCACACTCAGTGCCTCCTCTCCATGTTCAAGTGATTATAACCTCACACAGCTCACTGTGAAATGTTCAAGACCTCAACCCTCACTGTGGATTCTCTTATCTTTATCATTGATGATGCGAATCGACTTGCTTCCTCCAATCGAGTTGCTTGCTTCAGACTTCAACGCGTTTTCCCGTCGCCCACTGTTAGCTGCAAACTGCTACTGTCACTCCTCTGGTTGCTCCCCACCTTGCCCCACCACACAGCACCAAACAGCACCAGAACGAAATGCTGGAAGCACCAAAACGCCCGCACTGACCGCTATCCGGTTGAGAAGACCCGCTTGCTGTCGTTGCTTGAAACACCTTGCCACTTCCGCCCCACCACACAGCACCGCAGAGCACCCCAGAGACGTTGGAAGCACCAAAACGCCCGCACTGGCCAGTAACCGGTTGAGAAGACCCGCTGACTGCCGTTGCTCAGAACACCCTGCTCCTAATCCACCACGCTGCACTGCACAGCACCTTGGAGAAATGTAGGAAGCGCAAAAACGCCCACTGACCGGTAACAGGTTGAGAAGACCCACTGACTGCCGTTGCTCAAAACACCCTACAGCTCCTGCTCCACCACGCAGCACTGCACACCACCGCACACTACCCTTGTGATCCGCAACAAAGAAACTGCTGCTAAGAGTATATCCACACCTGATCTCTGCCTGCTGCCCAGTCCCCTTCACTGGTCATTGCCTGCTGCTACGTGCCCTCCACTGTTTGAAACCTTCGGTAGCCACTCGCACCCCTGCCCACCACGCAGCACCACACAGCACCAACTTCGACCAAGTAGAAATGCCAAAAGAGCCAAGAGCCAAAACGCCCACACCTGATGGACTAATCGCTGGAAAAATATCCCCTTTCTGCTGTTGCTTGAACCGCTCTGCCACTGCATAGTACCACACAGCACCACTTGCATCCCAAAACGAAGAAGTTGCAGCTACGAACCAAGACACTCCCACCTGCTTGCTCCTCTGCTGCCTTCAATAAGCATATTAATGTTGCAAACACCCACTGACAGTCTTCCTCTCCTGCCGACCACACAGCACCGCACAGAACTACAAAGCACCACGCACCACCACCTCCAACCCAGCAAATAAACTAGAAATGCAAATCGCCCACACCTGACCACTAGGTGCCTGAATAGCACTCGTTGCTGTTGCTTGGAAAAAGCTCTGCCCCACCACGCAGCACCACACAGCCACAAAGGTCGAATGCAACAGAAAGAAAACTTCCAAAAAACCGGGCCTCTACCACCTGAACTTCTGCTGCTTCGCACTCTTTGCTTCATAATTGCGGACACTATGGATAACCGCATCCTCTTCTTCTGCCAACCACCCAGAACCACCACAAACCACGCAGCACCACACAACACCACCTACGACCGACAGAAAAAACTGCAGAGGAAAACAGCCCACACCTGACCACTAATAATTGCTTGGATAGTCTTAGTCACCGCTCTTGCTTGACCACTAATCGCTTCAGCTGCTTCTGCCCAACCACATTCCACCACACAGCACCATGTACAGCCAACAAAAGGAAACGAAATGCTGCAAGAAGCACCACACCTGACCAGCTGCTGATAAACTCGTCCACCTCAAATGCCTCGAACCACACTCCACCACACCGTGTACGCGATGTCCTCTGCATACTCCTGCCTCTCCTCTCCTCTCCCTGCCCTGCGTATCAAGCCTCCATGCAGCACCACACTCCACCACACTGCACCATATACAACCATCAGCAAAGAACGAAATGCTGCAAGAAGCGCCACACCTGACCAGCTGCTAGATAAACTCGTCCACCCCTCATTGCCACGAGCCCACGATGCCCCAGCGTCCCTGCCTCTCCTCTCCCTCCATGTGTCGACCGTCCACGGAGCAGCAGCACGACTCCAAGAGAGAGAATGCCAGTAGAAAACTGCTACGTAGAAAACTGCTACGAGTCCTACCTAGGAATATGTTATCTAGACGACTAGAACCTAGAAAGAGTGCTATGACGAGGCAAGGAAGGCCTAGTAAAAACACTACTACCTCCGTCCAAGCTGCTATTTCATGAAACTATGAGACGACCGGACTACAAGCAGTAGGATTGATGGGAAGTTTGAGAATTGAAGCGGACTATTTGACTGAGAACATGGAGGGTTTAAGGAAGAAGAACTAATGGCACCAAAGTAGGGCTGAGGAGTTTCAATTAGGAGATCAGATAGAAAAAGGTGTCAAGCTGAAGGGTGTCAAGTCGGGTTTAGAACTAGTCAAATTGTAATATGAAAGGCTCTTCTGGAAGGTGGGCTTCATTAATTGTAATGATACAGTCAAAGGGATTATTGGATGGAATGGGAAGGTTATGGGCCGGAATAGGAGGATTATCAGCTGACATGGCAGAATAGGAGAGGTTGACAGTCGGGCACTCGGAAAAAAGAAGGGTTTCAGTTGAACCGTACAGATGAGGTGAAAAGGCTTGACCAAAGAGGACGTAGCTAAGGTGATGTGGATGAACTGAAGAGCATGGAGATGATGCAGTGATGTGGACTGATAGACGATCATGCAGGTGAGTTGATTAGGTTTGATCAGAGGGCATGAGCTGATATGGCTTGGCAGAAGAGCATGGAGACGTTGATGTGGTTTGACTTAAGAGCACGAGGTGACGTGATTGGACTGAAATGCAGAGAGATAAGCTCATGTGGTTGGACTGAAAAGTATGGAGATGACAATGATGTGGGCCAACTGACGATCATGCAAGCGAGCTGGTGTGGTTTGATTGAAGAGCATGAGGTGGTGTGGCTTGGCCAAAGAGCACTATGCAGATGCGGATATGGTGATATGGTTTGACCAAACCAGAATATGAGCTGATGTGGTTCGACTGTAGAGCATGAGGTGACATGACTTGGCCAAAGAGCAGAATGCAGATGCGGATATGGCAATATGGTTTGACTGAACCGGAATAGGAGTTGCAGCACGACGAGAAGAAGTATGCAGATGCGAATATGGCGAATACGGTTAGACCGAACTGGAATAGGAGTTGCAGCACCAGGAGCAGAATTCAGTCGCGTTCGGCAGGAGGGAGTGAGCGCAAGGGCTGCAAAAGGCTGAAGACGTTGCAGTGGCAGAAAGGACAGCAGATGCCAAAACAGAAGAGCAATGGACAGCCACCCATCAGAGAAGCAGCTACAGCTACACAGCACCTCCCATCAGCTTGCCTGTCTTTTTCTCGACTTAAATGAATTCAATCCACCAAGCAGGCCTCCAGTTGCATCAGCTCCTGTGAGTAAGAGAACACGGCACAGGGAGCCTCCACCAACAGCCAAGCAGAAGTAGGAACACCAGCCAACAGACAGCAGATACACAAGCAGACAGCCAGCAGCCACACAGCTTCAACGTCAGCTTGCCTGGTTTCATCACAGCTTCCCTCTTCAGCAGACTCCACCACGACCCAGATACACCACCCCCGAAAGACAACCACCAGCACCTTGCATCTCCCACCCCGCAGACCCTGCGCAGTAACTGCCGCCACCACGCCGCCCACCATCACCTTCCATCTCCCTCTACCGCCATTACAGCAACCTTTCGCGATCCCACGAGTAACAGCACCCACAAGAACTGAAGACAACAGCACCGAACAGCAGCCCATGTAAACCCAGCAAAAGCATGAGCAGCCCAGGAGACGCACCACGACTCAGCACTCTTCACGTGTTCAGTTACCTCCCCATATCAGCTGCCACGTACCGTACCACTCTATGGCTCTCACCCTCACCTGTCACTCCAGGCTACACTACCAGGCAATCTACTTCTCTTAACTATACCATCCTGTTGACGTATCACAGAACTCTCCTGATTACTGGACCAGCCACAGATCTCACAACCAGAACCATCTCACTGTACAGGCAACATCCGCTTCAACATGTCCTATCTGCCACCTCCTAAAACCTCTCAACTTCACACTGCCAGATGTTTGTTCTCACAGAGGCCTCTCACACTTCCCCTACTCTACCACCACCGTCCCACCGTTCCTCCATCCCCTCTCCACCACTGCCACCACTCTCCACCACTCTCCACCTCTGCCACCTCTCACAGTTCTCACTCCTCCACTATCTGAATGTTCCAGACCGGAAACTGCACCATCACCACCACACTGTCACCAGCACCACCTCTGCCACCTCTCATAGTTCTCACTCCATCACTATTACAACGTTCCAGACCACCATCAGCACATACCAGCAGCCAAGGCCTGACCTTCAACTACCTATCGCTACCTCGTTCCGCATATGTATCGTTCGTCTGTACCTCCTCCACTCCGTCTGCTCCATCCCATCTCAAACTTACACAACAGGCGCTACCCCACTATCAGCCTCTCCACCTGACTCAGCCTGTCCACCTGTCATCTTTTCACAATTGCCTCTAACCGCCCTCGCTTCCAATCCTCCAGCGCACAGTCCTCAACCGTCCCACTCCAATGAGTCACACCAGCCAGCCCACACTACATCTATGGGGTTCCATCCAGCGCCACACCCGCTCAATCTGTACCTGCTCCAACACCTCCCGCCACCACCAGCACCACGCCACACCATGCTCCACCGCCCGTACGTCAGCCACCTCATTTAGCTCAGCACCTCGTACCAGCACCGTCAGCTTCTCCCGCCAGACCTGCCGCCGCGTGCACACCCACACAAACCTCTGCACCAATCTCGATCCCCTCCCAACACGTAATCGCCACGCACCCGTTACCTATCCGTCGACCATACGGCGTCACTCAACTGCGTACCAGCGAATGTACACTGACTATGTGCCACGTCACTAAACTTCTGTCCTGTTTGACACTCCCAATCGCCTTCAACTCGTAACCCCCAACCCGCAACAGAAGACGCGCGCAACGCTCGACTCTGCCCCGCTCGTTCCGTGCCCGCAAGCTCTGCGTGACTCTCAGCCGACACCGTCGCTTGCTTGCAGTGTGTCCCACAGTGTGGTGTCTGTCTATTAGACATCCTTTCAGCCACACCGTCCGTCCTCCCGTCGTTCTCATCCCAATCACAGCCCGTGGTTGCCCCTATTCAAACGCCAATGCACCCACAGCGTCCGTCACTCAAAACCTGTGAAGAATGGAAGCGGGTTTCTCCACTGCAGCCTGTGGTTGTCCCAGCAGACGTGCAGACGCGGCAGCCACCCGTCCCCGGACGCCCCACACCCGTCCGCCGCGCACTCATCCGCCGTGCGCCACTCGCCTCCGCACCATGCGCCAGTTGCCCCCACACCATGCGCCATTCGCCTCCGCACCATGCGCCAGTCGCCCCCGTACCAGTCTTGTTCTCGTACTCGTTTCCCATCCGTCCCATCATCACTTCAATCTGCACGACAATGGGGTTTGGCGCTGCAGCCTGAGGTTGTCCCAGCAGACGTGCAGACGCAGCAGACACACGCGCCCCAACCCCGTCCGTCCTGCGCCCCAACCCCGTCCGTCCTGCGCCCAACCGCCATGCGCCCATACGCCGCGCATCCTTCCGCCTTGCGCCCGACCGCCTTCCGCCCATACGCCGCGCGCACCCGTCCGCCGCGCACACGTCCCGTCACCACCGCGCCCATCACCACTGCGAGTCCCGTCCCATCACCGAGCTCAGCACATTTTTCCACCGCGAGTGTCGTTCATTCTGCATTCCTGTCTGTCTCACAAAACACGCGCAGTTGCAGCACACATTCGCCCTCGCCCGCTCAATCCCGTCCCCGCTCGCCAATTGTCCACCAACCGAGCGCCCGTCACCGTGCACCCACCCGCGCCCACCGTTGTAGTCGTCCCAGCAGATCCTCGCTGTCGCTCGCACAATCCCGTCCCAGTTCCCGAATTACCCGTTCACTGAACGCCCGTCCACCATACACCCATCCGCGCCCGTACCGTTGTGGTGGTTGTCCCAGCAGCCGAGAAGATAAACACTGCAGACAAACGCACTCGCCTCTCGATAATCTGCAAAACGAACTGCGCTGTGTCTTGCCGTAACAGACCCGAGGTTGTCCCAGCAGACGTGCAGATACCAGACACACGCGCGTCGCTCCATCTCAACCGTGTTCGCCACAAGTCTCTCACCACCCGCTGTTAGCCACCCGCCCACCGAAGTACTTCGCCCCACCCGCGCGCTCGCCAATGCAGCCAATGGTGACCCAGCAGAAGTACAAAAGTGCTCCCGTGCCGAAGTGAACACGTGCCGAAGTTCCCCCGTGCAGAAGACCCACGTGCCGAAGTGCTCCCGTGCAGAAGACCCACGTGCCGAAGTGCCCCCGTGCAGAAGACCCACGTGCCGAAGTGCCCCCGTGCAGAAGACCCACGTGCCGAAGTGCCCCCGTGCAGAAGACCCACGTGCCGAAGTACCCCCGTGCAGAAGACCCACGTGCCGAAGTGCCCCCGTGCAGAAGACCCACGTGCCGAAGTGCCCCCGTGCAGAAGACCCACGTGGCAAAATGCCCCCGTGCCGAAGTGCCCCCGTGCAGAGGTGCCCACGAGCAGAGGTGCCCACGAGCAGAGGTGCCCACGTGCAGAGGTGCCGAAGTGCAGAGGTGCCCACGTGCAGAGGTGCCCACGTGAAGAGGTGCCGAAGTGCAGAGGTGCCCACGTGCAGAGGTGCCGAAGTGCAGAAGTACCAACGTGACTACGTCCTGCCAAAGTGCGAAGTGCCCCTGTGCCAACAGCAAAAGCGCAGACGAAGTCGTGCGTGCCACTCCAGCCCACACCCAGCGAGTTTGCCTCTTCAAAAACCTGCAAGAGAAGGGGATTGGGTGGGTGTCTCCCGTTGCAGCCCGCGGTAGTCCCAGCAGACGTGCAGACAGCAGCCACTCGCCACTCGTCAATCCCGCTCGCGTTCGCTCTCGCCCGCGTTTCCAGTCCGCACAACCGCTCGCCACTCGCACGCCCCCCCGCGTGCACCCTCGCGTGTCTTCCCATTGTAGCAGCACACTTGGTCTTGAAGCCGTGGAGAAAGCAGAAACCCACGCTTTTCAAACTTGTCGCTTTCATACTTCCTTCTCACGACCTGCAAAGAAAAGGGGATTGGGTGGGTGTCTCCCGTTGCAGCCCGCGGTTGTCCCAGCAGACGTGCAGACAGCAGCCACTCGCCACTCGCCAATCCCGCTCACGCTCGCATCCGACCGAGTTTCCGTCCACACCCGCTCGTCGCCCGCACGCCCCATCACGTGCATCCTCACGCATCTTCCCATCCGCTCGCGTTCACATCCAACTGCTTATCCATCCGCGCACCCGCTCGCGACCCGCACGCCCCCGCGCGTGCACCCTCAAGCGTCTTCCCGTTGCAGTCGAGAAGACGGCAGACATACGTGCGTCCCTCTCTCACGTCGCTCGCCCTCCACCGACCGCACTGTCACTTCCTTCTACTGCCTTCTCAAAGGACGACCTGCAAGAAAAAAGGGGTTGGTGGGTGTCTTCCGTTGCAGCCCGCGGTTATCCAGCAGACGTGCAGACAGCAGACACACGCCACTCGATTCCGCTCCCGTTCGCGTTCGCGTTCGCGGTTTCCCGTCCGCATGCCCGCTCGCCGCCCGCACGCCCCCCGCGTACATCCTCACGCGTATCCCCATCCGCCCGCGTTCGCACTCGCCCGCGCCCGCGTTTGCATTCGCCCAGATTACCATCCGCGCAACCGCTCGTAACGTCGCCCCACACCCCTGCGCGTTCATCCTCGTGTCTCTTCCCATTGCAGTCAAGCAAACGGCAGACACACGCGCGTCCCTCTCTCACATCGCTGGACCTCCATGGATCGCGCTTCATACTTCCTTCGTACTTCCTTCTCACGACCTGCAAGAAAAAGGGGGTATGGTGGGTGTCTCTCGCTGCAGCCCTGTCCCGGCAGACGTGCAGACAGCAGACACACACGCGCGCGCGTTGCCCGGCGCCAACCTCCCCCCGCTGACGTCTCGCTCGCTCGTGCCCTGCACCGCCTTGCACCGCTTTCGTCTCCGCTCGCGTCCTCCCGCCAACGCCCGCGTCCTCCCACCAACGCCCACGGCTGACCCAGCAGACGTGCAGAAGGCAGACGCGCGCCACTCCATACCGTTCCTCGCCCCACTCGTTCGTTCATCGTCCCTGAGTGTTCTTTCGAAACGTCTTTGCGTGTTTGTTTCTTCATCCTGCAAGAAAGGGGGGGTAGCGGGTGTCTCGTGGTGCAGCCTGAAGTTGTCCTAGCAGACGTGCAGACAGCAGACACACACGCGCGTCATTTCTGATTATCCCGCTCGCTCGTTTCTCGCCATGCACTTCGCTCCACCTCCACTCGCGTCTTCCCATCAGCGCCCGCGGTTGTTCAACGGACGTGCAGACAGCAGACACGCGCCACTCAACCACGGCCGTCCTCGCCCCACGCGCATTCACACCTCGAGCCCGCACCCTCGTGTCTTCCCATCAGCGCCCGCGGTTGATCAACGGACGTGCAGACAGCAGACACACGGCCTCACATGCAGAGCGTTCGCTTCTCAACCTGCAAACAACGGGGGGGTTGGCGAGTGTCTCCCGTCGCCGCCTGTGGTTGTCCCAGCAGACGTGCAGCCAGCAAACACGCGCCACTCGCTCCCGCTTCTCGCCCGGCCCTCGTTCGTTGCTCGCGCCTTATCTCTGTTCAATTCTCTGCTCGTCCTTCAAAACCCTGCAACAGAAAGGGGTTGGTGGGTGTCTTCTCCTGCAGCCTGTGGTTGTCCAAGCAGACGTGCAGCCAGCAGACACGCGCCACTCGATCCCGCTCGCGTTCGCGTTCGCCAGCACACCCGTGTTGCCGTGCCACTATCCGTTCTTCCCAGCCGCCACACAACAGCATGTTTTAATCTCGAAGCGTCCGCCCCTTCATGTGTCGTCCCGCCACAGCCGGTGGTTCTTCACGCAGCCGTGCAGACAGCAGACACATGGCGCGCCGATTGCTTGTGTTGTTCCGTCCGTTCAGCACCCCGCGCTAACCCCCTTGTCGACTCGCTTGCGTTCGTTTCAGCTGAAATCGTTGCCCCGACAGACGCGCCCCGATTGCAGAAAGCTTGTCTCAGCAGTGCAGCCTACCCTCTTCCCAGCACGCTCTCTCCCTGCCCTGGACGCACAGAATCGCGCGGAGCAACACACAGCAACGGCAAAAGCCAACAACAACCACCTGCCTAGTCTCCTCCCTATCCCATTAGCACCTACAGTTTGAGAAAGCACAAGCAAGAGGAAAGCGGACTAGAACTCTGCAAAACTCATTGTCTGATATATACGCTACGGCCTGGAATAACACACCGACATAAAACTCACTATCTGGTATGTGCGCAACAAACTAGAACTTCAGGGCACACAAACACAAACCTCCAGACACACCGTTACAGGACAGGCGGAGTCTACTCGGAACGATGAGTGACAGACAGTAGACGTGTAGACGGCTGTAGACGTGTATACGGCAGTAGACGTGTAGACGACAGCAGACGTGTAGACGGCAGTAGACGTGTAGACGGTAGTAGACGCGTAGACAGTAGTAAACACGTAGACGGCAGTAGACGAGTGGCCAGACGAGTAGACAGAGGTAGACACGTAGACGGAAGTAGACACGTAAGCAGAAGAAGACGAGCAGAGGGAAGTAGACACGTGCAGACCGAGGTGACGGAGGTGTTAGTAGCAAACACACGAAGAGCGCGGGCGGGGAGAAGACGCAGGTAGAGATGGCGCAGGGCGGGTAGGGATGACGCAGGGAGAGCAAACGCAAGAAGCGCGGCACATCACGCAGCCTGGACGGGGGGGTTGACTGGCAGGGGAAGAGACGCGGAGACAACACAGGTAATGGGGCCAGGGGGGCCCGGGGGAGGGGAGGGGAGGGGACGAGGAGGAGGAGCACCAACCTCAACAGTCAAGGAACGCCTAAGAGGGAAGGGAAGAAAAAGGAGAAACGCACTGCTGGATCGAACCACTAGCCCAGGAACCTTGGTGGAGAGAAAGCGAGAGCAGAGGCGGCAGGGGAAGCGTACGAGACCGCAGAGGCGCGCAGGGATGAAGCAACGGTTGGGAAACACGTGGCAGTAGCTAACGCGACGCAGGAAGCTTAGCAAACCAGGAGCGCGAGCAGAGGCGGCGGAAGAAGAGAAGAAAACTTAGGAGCACAACCTGCGGGAAAGCAACGAGGGGAGGCTACAGGAGGAAGAGAGAACAAGTTATGGGCCCAGGGGGGCCCTACAGGAGGAAGAGAGAACAAGTTATGGGCCCAGGGGGGCCCAGGGAGGGGGAAGGGGGAGAGAGGGGAGCGCCAACCAGGAGAGGGACCAAGGCAAGGAAGACAAGCCAAGAGCACCGACGTCTAGAGCATTGACGAGGACTGGAACACTCAAGAGTCACAACGGTTGGGGAACCTTAGGAGTAGCAACGAGGCTGAACGAGAAGGGACGGCCAAGGGACCAAGGGAGAGATGGAGGAACGCGGCCTGTGGGGGCGAGAGCGGTGTGGCTTGGAGAGGAAGGGAAACAGACACAGGTTATGGGGCCAGGGGGCCCGGGGGGGGGAGGGGGGGACAGGAGCGGGGAACGCCAACGAGGAGGCTAGGAGGACTCGACGCAACAAGACGATGGACGGAGCTGCAATGGAGCGAGACAATAACGGGTCGGCAGAGCACGGAGGAAAGCGAGAAACCTGGCGAGGAAGAGCGGAACACCTGAAGGCTTAGGGACAACCGACCGCAGGGGAAGGCGGCCTGTGGGGACACGCGCAGTGTGGCTACACGAGGGAAAGAGGAACGAGACACAGGTTACGGGGCCAGGGGGCCCCAGGGGGGAGGGAGGGGGGACGCCAACCAGGAAGAGCGCACGTGTAACGGAACGAGTGAAACGAGACCGCGCCTACAGCCTAGACGAAGGGTCACAGGGAAAGGACGCAGCTAATGGCGAGGGGCATACTAAAAACAAAAGAAACGCGAAGGTGGTTACTACAATCAACCACACCGACCGTTCAGCGTCCGCAGTGGGCTGTCTGTTCTTGAGAGGTTTATGGGCCAATAAGCGAGGAGAACTAGTCGCAGACACCTGATGTGCTGCTGGTAGGGACTAACAGACCGGAGGGGGGCAGAAGAGGAAAACTCAAACCCCAGGGCCCCCGAAGGGGATGGGGAGGGGGGGAGGGGACCGAGAGGCAACAAGCCTGGCACTGACGGAGCAACCAAGAAAACTTTAATCCGAGACTGTGACGGAACGAAGTCATCAGTTAAACGTAGACGTAAAAAACGCACACCAGCACAGAGCTACAGCTACCCGGTCTTTCATGAGCAAATCTCCGTCACGTGCTGCGAAGGGCCGCTAGTACCGAAGGCTACTCGGACGGCGTCCTGTCCGCCAGACTGCTGGCATGGAACTGACTACGGGGACGGAGGGAGGAGGAAAACTGAAACCCCAGAGCCCCCGAAGGGGATGGAGACGGGAGGGGTGCGAGACACAGCAAACCTAACACCAGCGAGCCTGACACATACGAGCAGCAACGCAAGGTCAACGACGCGGTAAGGACTCTCGAAGAAATCGCAGCGGACATCGAAACGTAACAAGTCACAGCACTAGCTACCCGATCGGCCCATCAATGGCTGGATGAATCTCAAGCGTGTCGCGTGGTGTGTGGCGCGTGGTGCACGATGAGTCAGCCTGCTGTGCTGCTGGCAGGGCAACAGAGCAAGACCAAGAAGAACACGAGATATTTTGAAGCCCCAGAGCCCCCGGAGGGGATGAGGTGGGGTGGGGGGTGGGCAGACGAAGAAAGACCAGCTAGCGGAAACGCACGCAAGAGCGCGGGAGGACGCAGTATCGACACGGGACCAGTCAAAAACGACAAACGCAAGGTGACCGAACGCAGGTGAGCTGGCCTAGATTTGACGGTAGACAGAAGCGACGGCTGTGCACGACCTCTCGAAGCAACTGCGACGAGTCGGTTGTACTGTGCTGCTTGTAGGGAAACAACAGCCACACAGCAAAAGGCAGCAGAAAAAAGGTGAAAGCCCCAGAGCCCCCTTGGGGGGATGGGGTGGAGGGAGGAGCACCCGGGCAGGAACTGGACGGAACCGTGGTAGAAACAGCACCTGTTACCGGAGTGCGTAAGAAACAGAACCTTCTGCAAGTGATATCTCCATAGTCATGTCTGCGCTGTCTGGGAGGGCTGCAGCTGCTGTCCCAATAAGGAGCTCATAACGGGTTACTGCTAGTTCGCGAGTTGAATGATGTCTGGAGACGAATCCTGTCAAGCAGAGAGAGGGATGCGACGGATAGAGCCAGCAAGGCAATCCCACCCTACGACTTCGTTTCGCCTTTGCCTTGAGACCTGCAGACTACAAAACAATTACAGACAAGCAGAAGCTAATCCCCCCAAGACTACCAGATTCGTTTCAAAACTCTCCGAAGTCCTGCTTCATCCCTCTTAGCTGCTGACAGCAAAATAACAAACACAAACATTTTGACCCCGCGAAGTGCGCGCACACAGCCCCATCCCTTCACAGCCTGCGTAAGAGTAGAAACATGTCACAATCCTAAAAGCGTAGTTGTCTTTACATACGCACATATAGACATACATCACAATTTTAACCTGACTCTCCACAAGCGGATACATCTTATATAACCAATATAACCTTCCATCTCACGTATATATTTCAGAATACAAAGACGGGCAACGGACGGCCCACTCATTCGAATAGTTCAGAAGTCTCGACCATCCAACTCGTATGCTGAATAAATCACGCGCTTCGCACGGACCCTTCGCTCTTCAAGACGCTCACGACGGTATCACGACCGAGAGTAAAACTCTTCCACGGCAAATACGATACGCTCAAACTGTGCCAAAATATCGCGGACAGAACCTAGGGCGAACGGTGACAAGCCCTTCGTGTTCTCTAAAGCGTCGACAGCCCTTGCGGGATTCGAGGACGTGTAAGTATCCAGCTGACTTCGAAAACGAGCCTCATGATTCAAACTGACGACGTCAAATTTGCCACCAAGTTCAACAGTAACACAGTAACCTCAACCGAACGAATAGGACGACCACAAGGCCCATATAGTACTGGAACCACGGGACTCTGTACCACGTAACTCAGACGCCATCAACAAATCACGGACACCTGACCAAGAGATCATCATCACGGCGTATTGCTCACAGCCAGATGAACCCAAGGTAGCGCGTCACGAGACGTTGGCCTGGCAGTCCGCTCTGGTGTCGTCCATCCGAACCACGGGAGTGGAGTGAAAAGAAATCAAGAAACCAAAACTGTGCAGCAGGAAATGAAGCTACCCCGCTCAAGAAATGGAGCTGTGGAACCCCAAGAAAGGGATGGGAGGGAAGGAAGGTGGGATGGGGTTTGAATAATTTTGGCTCGGGGAACTTCCTTGCGACGTTTCTTGGCGACGCCGGCGACCACGGTTCTTGCTTCCAGACCACTCAAACCTTATCTCGAACATTCTTGATTGGAAAGAGCAGCACCGATTGGTAATTATGGAACCAGTCCCGTTGCGTCACTAGCGAAACCTTCATGGTGCTTGTGTCGCTGAGCCAATCCCATCAGGCGAAACGCGCTGAGCGGTGCAAGACAGACTGGCACCACCAATCTGACGAAGCGGTATGCGAAGAGGACGGTGGCGGTGGTATGTTCGCGAACTTTCGTGCACGTGATGGAAAACAGAGAACGCGTTCGCGTGGTTGGTTCCATGCAGCAGCAACACCATCATACATGCACAGTGCATGCTGATAGGGAGGACCTTCCCCCGAGGTGATGGTACATCAAATGCACATGAATTGAGTCACCGGCAACGTTTGAACATGACTATGTGACGTGACAAACCACTCCTTTTGTGTCACTGACATGACAGCATTACGAAATCGAGCATGCCATGAGTCAGAAGCGTGCTGGACTACGTGGCATCTGCCCCAGTTGCCTCAGCTCACATGATGCTGACCATACTTCACGTGTTCCCCTGCCATTCAAACCCGTTACTGTATGAAACTGTTCTGAGAATCTCACACAAGGATCATGTATGTATGTTTCTGAGTTGCTAGGTTGCTGCTAATATCTATTTTGTTACTAAATTATGTATTCATAGAAACAGGAGCACATGCTGCATGGTTCATTTGAGCTGTTTTTCAACGAGAATGCCTTATATAAGGGCATGTAGTTTCACATTATTCTGCACTGATACGAGCATATCAATGCTTGAAGAAGTACTATTAATCATCGACTGAATCATGACTATCTAGCCAAATCCGCCCCATAAATGAGTGGAGAGTACGCAGGTACCCATGTGCGCTTCTCCACCTGCTTCCTTAAACCCTCCTGCTCAAAATGCAATTTCCACCCAACATTCACGATGCAAAACGCCATGAGCATATGAAGTTAATGTGATAAGATGGTATCATAAGGTGTGCATGGGTCAACATGTACATACCTTGGAAAGTGTCAGCAGCTGATCGGCATGCAGGCTGGGAATGCCCTCAGCCAATCCCTCCTCTGCTGCCTTGCGAGCCACGGCCACTGCGACATGGGATGTGATGTCACGAATGCTGGAACAGGGAGATTGGCCGGGTGGTGTGGGGCAGGGAAAGGGTGGGGAGTATTAGGAACAGGCTTTGCTCCCCTGCTGCTTTGTAAACCACGGCCACTGCGACGTGTGATGTGATGTCATGAATGCTGGGAGAGGAGAGGGAGAGGAGAGGGCGAGCAAGGTTGGCTGGGTGGGGGAGAGAGGACTCCCTTCACTACTGGACAGCAAGTGAGTTTGGCACAGCTGAATGAATCTTGAGTGGACAGGGTGGGGGGGAGTGGACTTCTTTACCAGTGAACAGCAAGTGGGTTTGGCACATCTGGGTAGCTGCTGAGGTGAGTTTTCCTGTTGCAGCCCAGTGAAGGTATAGTAGAAACATGGGATGGCTTTGGCTTACCTGGGCATTGACGGCTGTGGCTTGAGTCGGCTCAGAATACACGTGTGAGGTGATTTTAGCATACCAGGATAGCGACGGGTGTGTCTTGTATCGACTTCAGAGACACGCGTGAGAGGGATTTTGCATACCTGGATAGCGATGGGTGTGGCTTGAGTCGGCTCAGAATGCACGTGTGAGGTGATTCTTGACATACCTAGATAGTGACGGGTGTGTCTTGAGTCGACTTCAAATACACGTGTGAGAGGGTTTTTGCATACCTGGATAGCGACGGGAAGAGAATCCCCTTCTTGACGTCATCGTCTGAAATATAGTGCGCCACCCTGGGAAGGGGGAGGAACCATGAAGGGGAAAGGCGGTGAAATAGAGACACGGGGGAAGTGGTGGGAGAGAGGGGCAAAGGGGAAGAGAATGCCCCTCCTTGACGTCATCGTCTGAGATATAGTGCGCCACCCTAGAGGGGGGTGGAAGAAAGGCAGGAGAGGAGGGAAATGGGGGCAGGGGGGATGAGGCGGGAGAGAGTGCGACAGTTCATGGTGGCAGCAAGAGGTGCCTTGAAATGGAAGCATCTCACTCGTTCGCTGCGCTGCGGATCGTTTAATCAGACACGACACGAGCCCCATTGAGTAGTTTAGAAAACTAGCTAACGTTCGAAAACCAGTTTTCAAGATTCATCTAAAACCAGCATAAAACTCACTCGTTGGCTGCTGCATGGATCATTCCTTGAGACACCAGGCGAGCGCCTCTGAGTCGACTTAACAACCAGTTAATTCTGGAGAGCCAATTATTCAGAGATCTCAAGAACCAACTCAGACTCACTCGTTGGCTGCCGCGTGGATCATTCCTTCAGACACCAGGCGAGGGCCCGATAGTAGTGCTCCGGCCGCAATGCTGGGGTGGGAAGCGGTGGGATGGTATGAGATGGGATGGGATGGGATGGGATGGGATGTGGAAGGGGGAAACACACGAGAAGGGTGCGTGAGGGTGTGAGTGTATGAGGTGACATGAGGTGACACGAGGTGACACGAGGTGACGTGAGGTGACGTGAGGTGACACGAGGTGGCCTGAGGTGGCATGAGGTGACATGAGGTGACATGAGGTGACACGAGGTGACATGAGGTGACACGAGGTGACATGAGGTGACATGAGGTGACATGAGGTGACATGAGGTGACATGAGGTGACATGAGGTGTCATGAGGTGACATGAGGTGACATGAGGTGACATGAGGTGACATGAGGTGTCATGAGGTGACATGAGGTGACATGAGGTGTCATGAGGTGACATGAGGTGACATGAGGTGACGTGAGGTGACATGAGGTGACGTGAGGTGACATGAGGGTGGGTGCAGTGGAGGTAATGGTGTGAGGTGACCCATCCAGGGAAGAGGAAGATGTGGTTTCCCTGGGTGGAATGGCACATGGCACGAACCACCCAGTTTGAAGGCAAAGCATGGTGGTGGTGGTGGTGGTGGTGGTGCAAGGAAAAAGCGGCCTACCCTGGAAAGAGGAAGATGTGGTTGCCCTGGGTGGAATGGCCGATCTTGCCATCCGCTGGTGGCAGCAGCACAGCACAGATCAGCACAGGAAACAGCACAGAACACACAGGAACCAGCACACTCAGCACACGGCACTGACAAGAGCACAGGCAAAAGATGCTGTCAGGTTGCGAGAAGCTTATCAAAGCGGGCACAGAGTCAATATGCAAGAGGGGATATAGAACAGGAGAGGGTATGAGCGAGGAGGGGAGCTCACGGAAGCGGGCGGAAGGGTAGCTGACTCGAGAGAGGAAGAGGGCGCTGGGACGAGATGTTTTCTTAGTCAACTGAAAGCCATATAGAAGAAGTCACATCGGGGCGATTCAGAAACTTACGGAAGCGGACGGAGGGGTAGCTGACTCCAGAGAGGAAGAGGGCGTTGGGACCCACGGCTTCAAATGCCTGCTGTGCCGTGCACTCCGCTGGAGGGGGGGAAACGGGTGGGAGAGAGGGAGAAGAGAGACGTGAAAGAGGAGGTTATGGGAGTGGACGGAGGGGTAGCTGACTCCCGAGAGGAAGAGGGCGTTGGGACCCACGGCTTCAAATGCCTGCTGTGCCGTGCACTCCGCTGGTTGGGGGAGGATAGGAATAGAGATGCGCGAAGAGGAGAGGAACAGAGATGTGTGAAGATGAGAGGACCCTGACAAGAAGGAAGGAGCAAAGGAAGCACAGTTCCTATCCTCCCTGCAAAGGAAACACAGTTCCTATCCTTCCTGCAAAGGAAGCTGTGGGACCGACAGTTTCAAACGCACAGTGCCTGCTGTAACACTTGGTGGCTAGCACGACAGAGTTCTTCACAGATCTCAGAGCGTCCTTGTCAAACAGGTGGTGCTTGCCCAACAGCCCAAACAGCACAGCCGTGCATCACCATGACACCAGGCTCTGGTGTGTGGTGCTTGCCCAACAGCCCAAACAGCACAGGCACATCACCGTGACTGCCTTCATCACCTGCGCCAGTGCTGGTGCTTCCCTGACTGCCCAATCAGCACGTGCTGCTGCATTGCCTTCAGGCACTGCCTTGATCACCTCACGTCGGTGCACCCACACAGCACAGCTGTGCATTTCTGTGACTGGCAACCAAAGGAACTCACAGTGACTGCCCAACCAGCACGTGCTGCTGCATTGCCTTTAGGCACTGCCTTGATCACCTCACGTCCGTGCACCCAAGCAGCACAGCCGTGCATTACCGTGACTGACTAGTTTTGAGGCGCCTCAAAACTAGACTTCACGTCGGTGCACCCAAACAGCACAACCGTGCATTACCGTTACTGACTGGCAACCAAAGCAGCTCACAGTGGTTGGCGGGACAGGAGAGCGGCAGGATGGCAGGGCGGGGCACGCCACTGTTCTTGACAGCCCTCAGGACGTCCTTGTCAAACAGATGGTGCTTGGCTAACCATTTCCCACCGCACAGCACCGTTTTGCACTCACAGGGAGATGAGTGTTCTTGACAGCCCTCAGGTCGTCCTTGTCAAACAGATGGTGCTTGGCCAACCATTTCCCACCGCACAGCACCGTTTTGCACTCACAGGGAGATGAGTGTTCTTGACAGCCCTCAGGTCGTCCTTGTCAAACAGATGGTGCTTGGCCAACCATTTCCCACCGCACAGCACCGTTTTGCACTCACAGGGAGATGAGTGTTCTTGACAGCCCTCAGGTCGTCCTTGTCAAACAGATGGTGCTTGGCCAACCATTTCCCACCGCACAGCACCGTTTTGCACTCACAGGGAGATGAGTGTTCTTGACAGCCCTCAGCACGTCCTTGTCAAACAGATGGTGCTTGCCCGACAGCCCAAACAGCACGTGCGTGCATTACCATGACTGGCAACCAGAATAACTCAAGGGCGACTCACAGTGGTTGGCAGGACAGGAGAGGGGCAGGATGGCAGGGCGGGGCACGCCAGAGTTCTTCACAGCTCTCAGCACGTCCTTGTCAAACAGGTGGTGCTTGCCCGACAGCCCAAACAGCACGTGCGGCTGCACTGCCTTGATCACCGCGGCTAAATGGGCGCCCTCCTGCAGTCCCCCCTCCTCCCGCGCCTCTGCTGCCGGCCTCAGGAAGGGCCGCAGCTGGTTGGATACTGCGCCCCTGGCTTCGGTCATCAGGCCCTGAGAGAAGAGAAGGGGACGAAGAGGGGAGAAGGGGGGGAAGTGGGAGAATGAGGTGCTTCCCTGACAGACCAGCGCCCCCTCCTGCAGCCCCCCCTTCCCCCCCCCCCTCCCTCTGCTGCCGGCCGCAGAAAGGGCCGCAACAGGTTGGGTACTGCGCCCCTGGCTTCGGTCATGAGCCCCTGAGGGGAAGGGGGGTAAAGATTGGATGAGGGGGAAATATGGTGCGGAAGAGTGATGGGGGGGAGGGGGGGATGCAACAGGGGAGGGGACGAACAGGGGAGTGGGGAACAACGGTTCTCGGTTGGTTGGGTGCCACGCCTCTGGCTTCCCCCATATGCTGTCATACATGTGCCCTCTTATCACCTCATATCCCCGATTTTACCCTTCGCCACCTCTTACCACATCTTACCACCTCATGTCACCGCATTCCACCGCACATCACTCTCACACACCTTGTTATCCACGATCCAGAAGTTGCGAGCAGCCTGCACGTAGCTGTGCTTGCTCTCTCCCAAATGCGCCACCATCGCCTTTTGAAGTGCTATCAGCATGCCCTGCACCGCACTGCACCGTGGGAAGAGACAGAAACGGTAGTTGATTTCACATGTCAAATACCACATCACATGTGACAGTATCACCATCTGTAGCACTACCAGCATGGATTTTGAGTCGACTCAAAAGTCACCTTGTGATACCATCACCATCTGTAGCACTACCAGCATACCCTGCACCACAGTACGTGGTAGGGAGTAATGTGGAAACAGCAACAAAAAGAAAAACAACAAACAACAACATCAATTGTGAGCATTCGTGAAAAAAAACCTATATATTCAGCCCCCTATTGTTGTGCTCAGAGCCACACGCTCACCTGCCTGCCTGTCTCCCAACCCAAGCCACACGCACCTGCCAGCGCCCGTGACAACCATTCTGCAGTTGGACAGCTCGCCGGGAGTGCCCAGAGCTACGTGCTCTCCCCTTTCTGCCCCTCCCAACCCACATGCACCAGCCTGACCCACACGCACCTGCCAGCGTCAGTGACAACCATTCTGCAGTTGGCCAGTTCATCGGGAGGCAGCTCCTGCGCCCTCAGCACGCTGGTCACCGTAGCCACAGCCGGGCCCCACTTTTGCTGTTGTTGTTGTGTCCAAAAGAGCAGACGCACCCCTTCAGCCCCTCCCAAGCTGCACGCACCTGCCTGCACCGGTCACAACCATTTTGCAGTTCGCCAATTCACTGGGAGGCAGCTCCTGCGCCCTCAGCACGTTGGTCACCGCCGCCACAGCCAGACCCCACTGTTTTTCTTTTGAGAAGAACAAATTCTCTTTGTGCCCCTCCCAACCCACACACACCTGCCTGCACCGGTCACAACCATTTTGCAATTCGCCAGTTCACTAGGAGGCAGCTCCTGCGCCCTCAGCACGTTGGTCACCGCCGCCACAGCCAGCCCCCCCGTGCCCTGGATGTCGTCATTGAACGTGCGATACTGGTGCCTGTAGCGGTCCATGAGCACGTGCGCCCACTTGCGCTCCATGTCCTCGAACTGGATGGGTAGTGGGTTAGGTGGAGCGGCAGAGAGATGGATAGCGAAGCACACTGCACTGACACCAACAGCCAGCCTCTACCCGTGCCCTGGATGTCGTCGTTGAACGTGCAATACTGGTGCCTGTAGCGGTCCATGAGCACATGCGCCCACTTGCGCTCCATGTCCTCGAACTGGGGGTGGAGGGGCGGAGATAGAGGGGGGCAGTGGCAGAGGGTCAGTGGTGGTGATGAGTTGTGCGGCACTGCATCCTGTACCAGTCCATGAGCACGTACGCCCACTTGCCCTCCATGTCCTCAAACTGGCATGGCGATGTGGGCGCCTGTGAATGGGTATGGGACACAGACGGTTGGGTGGATGGAAGCAGGGCAGAGGTGTGAAAGGCAGTACTGGTGCCTGTAGCGGTCCATCAATATCCAACAATATACGCACCCACTTGCGCTCCATGTCCTCAAGCTGGCATGGCGTTTTAGGCGGGGCGCATGGGAATGAGGCACAGATGGTTGGGTGGATGGAAGCAGGGGCAGAGGCAGAGGGCAGGTGTGAATGAGACGCGGTACTGGTGACGATAACGTTGGGCCAGCGGGAGGTAACGGCCTGCATGAACGAACTCGTCTATTGAGCTCCAGATAGACCTCTCCGTCTATTGAGCTCCAGATAGACCTCTCCGTCTATTGAGCTCCAGATAGACCTCTCCGTCTATTGAGCTCCAGATAGACCTCTCCGTCTATTGAGCTCCAGATAGACCTCTCCGTCTATTGAGCTCCAGATAGACCTCTCCGTCTATTGAGCTCCAGATAGACCTCTCCGTCTATTGAGCTCCAGATAGACCTCTCCGTCTATTGAGCTCCAGATAGACCTCTCCGTCTATTGAGCTCCAGATAGACCTCCCCGTCTATTGAGCTCCAGATAGACCTCCCCGTCTATTGAGCTCCAGATAGACCTCCCCGTCTATTGAGCTCCAGATAGACCTCCCCGTCTATTGAGCTCCAGATAGACCTCCCCGTCTATTGAGCTCCAGATAGACCTCTCCGTCTATTGAGCTCCAGATAGACCTCTCCGTCTATTGAGCTCCAGATAGACCTCTCCGTCTATTGAGCTCCAGATAGACCTCTCCGTCTATTGAGCTCCAGATAGACCTCTCCGTCTATTGAGCTCCAGATAGACCTCTCCGTCTATTGAGCTCCAGATAGACCTCTCCGTCTATTGAGCTCCAGATAGACCTCTCCGTCTATTGAGCTCCAGATAGACCTCTCCGTCTATTGAGCTCCAGATAGACCTCTCCGTCTATTGAGCTCCAGATAGACCTCTCCGTCTATTGAGCTCCAGATAGACCTCTCCGTCTATTGAGCTCCAGATAGACCTCTCCGTCTATTGAGCTCCAGATAGACCTCTCCGTCTATTGAGCTCCAGATAGACCTCTCCGTCTATTGAGCTCCAGATAGACCTCTCCGTCTATTGAGCTCCAGATAGACCTCTCCGTCTATTGATCTCCGGATAGACCTCTCCGTCTATTGAGCTCCAGATAGACCTCTCCGTCTATTGAGCTCCAGATAGACCTCTCCGTCTATTGAGCTCCAGATAGACCTCTCCGTCTATTGAGCTCCAGATAGACCTCCCCGTCTATTGAGCTCCAGATAGACCTCTCCGTCTATTGAGCTCCAGATAGACCTCTCCGTCTATTGAGCTCCAGATAGACCTCTCCGTCTATTGAGCTCCAGATAGACCTCTCCGTCTATTGAGCTCCAGATAGACCTCTCCGTCTATTGAGCTCCAGATAGACCTCTCCGTCTATTGAGGTGCCTCACCACACGCCTTGCACCTGCACTGCTTGGCACCAGCACATCCTGGTAACCGCACGCACCTGGACAATAACGTTTGGCCAGCGGGCGGTAACAGCCTCCATGAACTCGTCTATGAGCTCCAGGTAGTCCTTGCCGCCTATGTGCGGATGGAGGCACCTTCCCTCCCCACCCTCGCCGTCTGTCTATTGAGGCGCCTCAACACACGCCTGGCACCAGCACTGTCTGGCTGGTAACCGCACGCACCGAACAATGACGCACCTGAACGATGACATTGGGCCAGCGGGCGGTGACGGCCTCCATGAACTCGTCTATGAGCTCCAGATAGTCCTCCCCGTCTATGCGCGGATGGCGCAGGCCCAGGTCTGCACGCCAGTGAGGGGGAGGGAGTAACAAGGGGGGTCACGAGGGGGGGACATTCAGGTGAAGGTAACGGGGATGAGGGGGGATGAGGGGGGGACAGGAGGAGAGGAGGAAAACGGGGGACAAGGGGGTCGAGAGGAGGAGGGCAACACGGGGGAGGGGAGAAAGGTGATGCGAAGGAGGGGGGAGGGGAATTTGAAGTTGACTCACAAGCAATGAAGTGGAGGAGGATTCTGAGGGGTGCGATGGGTACATCAAGGGGTACGAGGGCGTACAGAGTGGGTCCTTCATGAGCTCGCTGTTGTTGGTGCCCACATCGAAGACTACAGGCAGCACCTGGGGGCGGAGGGTGGGAGGAGAAGGACAACAATGGGGGAGATGAAACAAACAGTCTGTTGATAACCCATCAGCCATGTTTCTCCCATAATGGCCGTCTGAATCAACAAAAAGTGGAACCATCACAAGCCATTTCCTCTGCTCGTCCCCCTCCTCAGCCATTTCTTCTTCTAATCGTCCCCATATCCTCTGCTCGTCCCTCCCTTTCTTTGTCTCTCCCACTCACCTGGTTGGGGTTGATGCCGGCAGCAGCCACGTACATGTCCAGCTTTCCCACCGGCGCCGACACGGCCTGCACGCCACAGTCGCCCACTCCCAGCACTCTGCTGCCATCCGTGATCACTATGATATCCACCTGGGTGGGATTGTGAGGGGTGCAGTAGGGTAGAGAGGTAAAGGACAGAGATATCAGCTTCCCCACCGGTGCTGACACGGCCTGCATGCCACAGTCCCCCACGCCCAGCACCCTGCTGCCATCCGTGATCACTATGATATCCACCTGGGTGGGATTGTGAGCGGTGCAGTAGGGTAGAGAGGTAAAGGACAGAGATATCAGCTTCCCCACCGGTGCTGACACGGCCTGCATGCCACAGTCCCCCACGCCCAGCACCCTGCTGCCATCCGTGATCACTATGATATCCACCTGGGTGGGATTGTGAGCGGTGCAGTAGGGTAGAGAGGTAAAGGACAGAGATATCAGCTTCCCCACCGGTGCTGACACGGCCTGCATGCCACAGTCCCCCACGCCCAGCACCATACTGCCATCCGTGATCACTATGATATCCACCTGGGTGGGATTGTGAGCAGTGCAGTAGGGTAGAGAGGTAAAGGACAGAGATATCAGCTTCCCCACTGGTGCTGACACGGCCTGCATGCCACAGTCCCCCACGCCCAGCACCCTGCTGCCATCCGTGATCACTATGATGTCCACCTGAGGGAGCAGGTAAGGGGGAGTGGGTAGAGGGGGGTGAGAAGGGAAGAGTAGGGGTGTGGCGGTGGTGAGACAATCTCCCTGCATGCCACACCACAGTCGCCCACGCCCAGCACCCTGATAGATACCGTCCGTGATCACTATGATTTCCACCTGGGAGGGCGGGGGCGGGTAGGTGGGATCGGGTAGAGGGGGGTTGAGTAGGGAGAAGTAGAGCGTGGTGGTGAGACAAATACAACTAGCCATGTCATTGTGACGGTTCGCGCTGAAGTACCCGCTTCTTCGCAACCACTGCACCTGTTCCCACAGCACATTCATTCGGCTTGTGTTGTGAACAAACGCACACTCAAACACCATGTCTGCACTTACTGCTCATACGTGATCGGACGGCCAGTTGTGCACCATGGAGGCCATCTCGCCCTGGTCGTTGTTTGCGCTGAAGTACATGCTTTCTTGCCACCACTGTACCTGTTCCTGCAGAACATTTCTATGACAGTTCGTTCGCACTTTCATTAATTCAAACACCACACATGCTTACATGGTCTGACGGCCAGTTGTGCACCATGGAGGCCATCTCGCCCTGGTCGTTGACGCTGAAGTACATGCCCCGGGGGCGGCGGTGTATGTACCCGCTCCTACAGTACATTTCATTCACGTTTTACATGTACATAAAAACAAACACCACGCGCGCACTCACATGGTCGGAGGGCCAGTTGTGCACCATGGAGGCCATCTCGCCCTGGTCATTGGCGCTGAAGTACATGCCCCGGGGGCGGCGGAAGAGGGAGGCGTAGCGCTGGCACACCATGCCCACCGTGGGCGTGTAGACAATGCGCGACATCTCCTCTATGTTGTCCATCAGGATCTGATGGAGTGGGAAGGGGGAAGGGAAGAGGGGCAGAGGGGGGGGGATGACGGATGGAGCGTGGGAAGGAGTGTGATGAGAGGAGGAACTTGAACTGCCGGCACACCATGCCCACGGTGGGCATGTAGACGATGCGCGACATCTCCTCTATGTTGTCCATCAGAATCTGATTAGTTGAGAAGAGGGGAGGGTGGGAAGGGGAGAGGGTGACCTTCGGAGCATGGCAGGAAGGATGATGGGAGGAGGGATACGATCGGCTGGCACACCATGCCCACGGTGGGCGTGTACACGATGCGCGACATCTCCTCTATGTTGTCCATCAGAATCTGATGAGGTGGGGGGGGGGGGGGGGGGGGGAGGGAAGAGGGGCAGAGGGGCAGGGATGACGGATGGAGCGTGGGAGGGAGTGTGATGAGAGGAGGAACTTGAACTGCCGGCACACCATGCCCACGGTGGGCGTGTAGACGATGCGCGACATCTCCTCTATGTTGTCCATCAGAATCTGATGAGTGGAGGGGGGGGAGAGGAGGGGAGCCGGGTAGGGGCAGAGGGATGCCGGACGGAGCGTGGGAGGGAGGCGTAACGCTGGCACACCATGCCCATGGTGGGCGTGTACACAATGCGCGGCATCTCCTTTATGTTGTCCATCAGGATCTGATAGGAGGAGGAGCAAGGGGGAACAGAGGGGAGGGGCAGAGAGGTGGGCTTTGGAGCATGGCAGGGAGCACGATACAAGCTGCCGGCACACCATGCACACGGTGGACATGTAGACAATGCGTGACATCTCCTCTACATTGAGGGTGGGAAGGGGAGAGGGGTGACCTTCGGAGCATGGCAGGGAGGATGATGGGAGGAGGGATACGATCAGCTGGCACACCATGCACATGGTGGCCATGTAGTCGATGCGTGACATCTCCTCTACATTGAGGGTGGGTAGAGGGATGACGGGCGGAGGGGGAAGGCATGACGGATGGGGAGCATGAACGCTCCTATACGATGGGAAGGAATCTTCAGAATGGACAGGGATTCAGATTGCTGGAGCGTCTTCACTGCAGCCTGAGTCCACTGTGGTCCACCTCAGCGGTACACACAGGGCCACCACCCCGCACCTTGTTACGGTCACACCCACTATCGCTCACTAACTACAGTCACACCACACTCATACCCGGAAATACAGAGTCTCGTTGCGGTCGTGCAGGCAGTTGAGGATGCGCCACTTCTGCAGGTCCATGGGGTCGTCCGACATGCTGGTGGGGCAGAGGTCCCACCACACATTCCTCACCTCGTTACAGTCACACATACCGTCAATACAGTCACACCAAACGCACTCATACCCGGTAATACAGAGTCTCGTTGCGGTCGTGCAGGCGGTTGAGGATGCGCCACTTCTGCAGGTCCACGGGGTCGTCAGACGACCTGGGCTTGCGTTCAATGGCCTCGTACTGCCGCACTGGAGGGGGGAGAGGGGAGGTGTGGAAAGGAATGGAAGTGGAATGGAACGTAGACAAGGTCGAGAAGTGACTGTAGGTTCATTCTATGATTGCGGTGCAGCGAGGTGGTGTGAGCAGATCCTTTATGCTCAACACCGTGGCAAGAATGGTGCTTCAAAGCATCCTATACGTACGAGGGTGTACTCGCTGAACTGCTGCATTTGTTCCTCCATAATCTGGTAACCCGGTGGGAGAAGGTCCCTCATTTGAAGGGCCTCAAAAGTCACTCTATAACGCGTACGAGGGTGTACTTACTGAACTGCTGCATTTGCTCCTCCATGGTCTGGTAACCCGGCGGAAGAAGGGCCCTCATTTGAAGCGCTTCAAAAGTCACTCTGTAACGCGTACGAGGGTGTACTTACTGAACTGCTGCATTTGCTCCTCCATGGTCTGGTAACCCGGCGGAAGAAGGGCCCTCATTTGAAGCGCTTCAAAAGTCACTCTATAACGCGTACGAGGGTGTACTTACTGAACTGCTGCATTTGCTCCTCCATGGTCTGGTAACCCGGCAGAAGAAGGGCCCTCATTCGAAGCGCTTCAAAAGTCACTCTATAACGCGTACGAGGGTGTACTTACTGAACTGCTGCATTTGCTCCTCCATGGTCTGGTAACCCGGCGGAAGAAGGCCTCTCAGCCCCAAGCGATCACGCTCTGGCGCCTCGAATGCCGTGTGCTGCGGGGAGACGAGGGAGGGCAAAGAGTGGGAAATATTATCAGTTACGAATGTTTTCTCTCACGAGAGACGATGGATGGTAGTGTACTGCTACGCGTCGGAGCAGCGAACGACGAGAGCAACACCATACGAACCGCGAGACGGGTTTCGGGTGTATATTACTGTGTTCTGACATATTCGGTACTAACAATGTTGACCCAGAGATGTTGTAGGAGACAAGTTTTCAGCCCACTGAGAAGCGAGGCATCAAAATGTTCAGGCGTTGGATTTCTTTGAAACTCTCTCCGTGCTTCTTTATTAGGTCTGGTTAGAAATGGCTTACTTTGTGAGTCTGGCTCAGAATGACTTACTTTGTTGAACCACGGGTCGTGAAGGAGGTCGGCTCCCCGTTTATTCACAATGACAGCGCGGCCATGGTGAAAGCACCGCGATGAACGGCCAAGATTGTCTTGATAGGCATTCAACAATGCGGTTGCTGGCCCACACCGCATCATATCTCGAGTCCTTCTGACGGCTGTCCGGATCAAAGCGGCACTCGCCATGACGAAATGCTATCTCGAACGGTAACGAATGGTCGCGAAGCCTAACGAAGGATGAGGAGAGGCAGCGAGGTGCTTCTGGTGACAATGCAGGGGCTCCGACTACGAAAGCTCGCCAGAATTCGAAGCGCCAACAGGAGCTGGCGAAACGGAAATGTAATGCGATGTTACGTCAACTCATAAAATAACGGCGATATGAGCTGCTTGCGCGATACTGGGTGGTAGCGGTAATAAATAGGATGGCGTGAGCTGGTTCTTGCAAATCGGAAGACGAAGCGCGAATTTGTGGATAACGGGGGACGGTGCTGAAAACTACCGTTGAAAGCGGTAGAAAGCGGACGAGGGAGTCGGAGCGAGAAGCAACGAGAAGCGAATGTGTAGTAAATAAGTTGAGCGGAGCGGGACGGCTGCAAGGCAACGATGTGATGAACGGCACGCAGCACGAGCCGTCACGCCAGGACCTGAAAAGCAAACTGGAATTTGCGATAGTCACAGGGAGCTGCGTCATGGAATGGAGGTGGAGACTTGGAAAGCTGGCTTGTCAGTGCCAGGAGAACGAATTGCATCCAACGATTGGCATGCGAAGTTACTGACGGTTACCAGCTGCAGTCAGTCGTTGGTGATTGGTTTTGCGGATTGAAGCGCCTTGAAGTTGGTTGACAGAAAGTCAGCCAGACTGACGTCATTACTGCGTTGGCAATTGCAGATTTTGCTCATCTTTGGGACCACATATTTGCTGGAGCAAAAACTTCCTTCGCTGCAATGGAAGTTGCTCGACTCGAACAAAAGGTTTATGCAGTAAGGTTTTACTTGTAAGTAAAGACCCACCAGAGACATGATGATGTTTTTTTTGACAATACAGGCAAATTCAAATGTTGTGCCACTACGGCCAACTTCCCAAATATCGGGAATGCTGACGATGAAGAAAAGATTGTGACCTGGCACACAAGCCTCTGCTGGATGGAATCTCCAGCAACCCCTTTGAAGCTCGAATTTCGATATATATTCATTCCGAGTACGAGAAACATCAAATGTGTTCCTTATCATTACTCTTTTTAGGAAAAGAAAGACAGAGTTCACATCACATGTCAAACACAAAAAATATACGTACAATGTTTACAATGCACGAATTTCACCAGAGTGAGACATCATTATATCCTAAAAAATACCATCATCGTCCCAAGCGAACGACATTGAACCGTTATCAAGGTTCGTCATTGCTCTACAGTGTGCGGCCGTTCGTTAGACTGGGTTTTAAGTCAAAACAGAGTCACTGGTTGCCCGGATCATGGCAGTGATAACGTAGCACCCGGTTGCGCGTGGGAGGAGGTGGGGGATGGGAAGGAGTGGGGGGGGGGGGGGGGGGGGAAGGGGGGGAGACAATACCCACTTCAATCTAGCATATGCAAAACTCCACAATTTGCAGTATACATGATTCATTACGCACCTCATCTTGTTCAGAACCTGGAGCATTGTAAATCGAGAAACTGTAGGGAGCACGTGAACTCTGGTCAAACAGCTGGTGAAGTGAGTCAACGAGGGAAGTAGCCACGCAAAATATCACGCTGCTGACTCACCATATGCCCAACTCTGCTCTCACATCCCATCCGCATTCGTTTCCTGGTGACCAGTTTTCATGCGCATCTACAGTGTCAGCACATATGGGAAAGATGGTGTCACCATCAACATGTACTGTGCATGTATGATGGTGATGGTGCTGCATGGTACCAACTGGGCGCTCGCGTTTTCCGTTTCCATCACCTAAACGAGAATTAGAACGAGGAAGAGATGGACCTGGGAAAGAAGCTGAAACTGCTCAGCATGGGCCTGAGAGAATACTCACGGGAGGAGCGAAAGAGGGTGAAGGCGACGGTGCAGCACCTGGAGGTAGTGGTGGAGCGACTGAGGCACAAAGTGATGCGATATCCGGGAGACAAGAGAGCACAAAACAGGTTGATGCGGAAGGAGGCGCACCTAGGGGCTTATCTCCAGAGCTGCAAAGATCGGATGCAAGTGTTAGCGGGAATCAAGGTGGAGCTCACCGGAGAAGTCCCATCGCCATACTTGTCGGCCAGAATCAAAGTACGGAAGAGACGGACGGTGGTGCGCGAGATCTCTCACCATGGAGTGGTGTACCAGGGGACAAAGGAGGTGCTGAAGGCGGCAGCGGACCATTTCAAAGCTGCTTTTGGCGAGGTGCTACCAGAGGAAGAGGTGGACTGGGGGACTTTCTCGGAAGGCGCCAGATTCTCGGAGACGGATGCAGCGCTCCTTGGGGCAGACTGGACGGAGGAGGAGGTCAAGCAGGCGCTGGAGAGCCTCCCGAAGAGGAAATCTCCCGGGCAGGACGGCTTGCCCGCGGAATATTTCATTCTGCACTGGGATCTGCTGAAAGCACATGTGATGAGTTTTGTCGGGGAATTCGCCAGGAAGGCGAGTATGCCGGAGAGCTTATCGACAGCGGTGACAGTCCTGCTGCATAAGAAGGGGCCAACAGATCAACTGGGGAACTACCGCCCCATCACACTTCTGTCAGTCATGTACAAGGTGGTTACAAAAGTTATGGCTACAAGGCTCAAAAAGGTGCTGGGCAAAGTCCTGTCAAAAGAACAGCACGACTTCTTACCGGGGAAAAGCCTGGCGGACGCAGTATCAGTGGTAGCGGATGCGGTGGAGGCAGCGAACAGCGGTAAGGAAGATTGGCTACTGCTGCTGGTAGATTTCCAGAAGGCCTATGACACGGTCTCGAGGGTCTTCCTTTTCAGGGTCATGAAGGAGCTGGGGGTGCCTGACAATTTCATCGGCCGGACCAGGGGCCTGCATGCAGACGCAGGGACAAGGGTCATAATTAATGGGTGGTTAAGCGACAGGGTGGAGATGAACAGAGGGGTCAGGCAGGGGTGCCCACTGGCGCCATACCTGTTTCTTTGCGCACTCGAGCCGTTATGCAGAGCCACGCAGCGGGAGAAGCTGGGCATCGGACCGGCCGGGAAGGAGCCGCTTGCATACGTGGGATACGCCGACGACACATCATTTCTGCTGAATGGAGAAGCACAACTGCGGAAGGTGGTGGAGGTCTTGGGCACCTTCGAGAAACAGTCAGGGCTGAAGGTGAATTGTGAAAAGTCAGTGGTGGTACCGCTGGGAAGCAACCGGGGAGAGCCGGCGCCGGCAGACGTCTCGTATAAATGGTCGGAGCAGGGAGAGCCGGAGAGGCTCTTGGGGGTGTGGATAACGCCCAACGGTGACCCGGATCCATCCTGGAAGAGGGCGTACGAAAGGATAAAAGAGGAGCTGAGGAAGTGGGAAGCGCAATATCTAACAACCACGGCAAGAGTGGCAGTGATTAGCTGCTATGTCCTGCCAGTACTGATGTTCCAGGCCCAAGTCTACTCGCCGCCGGAGGAGACGTGGGAAAAAATCAGGAAATTATGTCACGCGTTCGTATCGGCAGGGGAGGCGGCAGAAGAAAAAATATTCATCCTGTGGAGCGCGTACCTGGCGTGTCTGCCGCGGAAGGATGGAGGTCTGGGGCAGCTGGACCCGAAGCTTTGCCTGGACGGGCTGGCGATCCGCAGGATCGGAAAGTTTCTGAAGGAGCCGGACGGAACGCGCCGCTGGCTGGCAGAGAAGGCGGCGGCTTTCCCGCAAGGGCTGGCCACGCTGTACGCGCACCCGTCGGCAATAAAGCAGTGGCAGCGCGGTAGCGAACGATGGAAGGCGGCGGCAAAAGTGTTCTGGAAATCACCTTTCGCGACACTGCCGGCACCAAGGAGCAGGTGGGAGGTGGAAGAGGAGTTTATTTGTTTCAACAGAAACATCATGCATCGAGGGGAGAGCCCTTTCGGTCACCAAATAGGCACAGCGGCCCTCATCACCACGCGCGTTCGGGACCTGCTCACGGACGGGCCAGGGGGACGGAGGGGGGTGAAAGAAGAAGAGGTGCTGACGATTGAACTGGGAAGCAAGGAGGCGGCGGTCATGGCAAGGAAGGCATACGGGGCCATGCCGCCGGAGTGGAGGAAATTGATCGAGGAGCCGGCAACGGCCGATGCTGTGGTGAAAGCATCGGGAGTGGTGAGGTACATCCTGCAAGGGCAACCAGCTAGACTCCCATGGGCAGTGGACGGGGTGGACGGCAGGAAGGTGGTCGTGTCCAGCATGTCCCTCGGTGAAGACGGGAGAATAGGGAAAAAAACAAGAGCGGAGAAAACGTGTTTCGAAGCGTGCAGACTCCAACCGATGGCGGTTCAGAAAGGAATACTGCTTGGCCCCGTGGGAGATCCAAAGGTGCGGTTGCTGTCTCTACCAGGACTGTTCGCTGGGGGGGAATTGGTGCCGCTACGCGGGGTAAGGGCCGCACTATCCAAGGCGAAAGGGCGTTCTTGGAGACAAGCGGAGTGGGAGGACGTGTGGGGAAAAAAGATTGACTGGCGGAAGGTCATTGAGACCAGAGACTCG